TTGGCTTCAAGGCATGTTTCTCACATTTCATATCTTTATCATTTGTTAACTGCTTGAAGCGGGTGTATTAGCTTTCTTCTTGTATTTATTCATTTCTTGGTGTCTCTTCAACCTATTATGCTTTTATTCCTTCGGGTTCTAGTTTTCTTGTCATATATATATATATATATATATATTGTAGTTAGGGTTTAGTTTACTTTGAATTTGTAATCATATATATATATATATATATTGTAGTTAGGAATATTATTGAAAAGAGAGAACAACAACCAATGAGTATTGAAAACTAAAAGTTTGAATCTGAAATTATTAAAATGGACTAAAAATATACATTTTTAATCCCTCAACTCCTTATATATGCATGTTTTTCATCCTTTCACGTTAAGTTAAGAGACTAAAAATGTATATATTTAAACAAACTCAATGGAGTAACTGATAGGACTAAAAAAATATATTTTTTATAGTTGAAGGATTAAAAAAGTAGATAAAAAAAAGTTAAGGGATGAAAATTATACAAAACATTAAAGTTGAAGACCAAAAATAAATTTACCCTTTTAAAATTTGAATTGATTTCTACCGATAATTTTCGGTGTACAAGTTGGTACATTGAAATACTGGTCGATATACTAAAATTTGATCAAAACAAAATTAAACCATATACTATTTTGATTTATTAAAAAAATCAATATGATCAGTATGGTACGGTATCAATAATTAGTTTACTGTGAATTTGTAGCTAGGACCATATGTTCACTACAGCAAGGTCAATGTAAAAGCATGTTTGGATTAGTTTCTTAGAGTTTGAGTTTTTTTGATACTATTTATGTTTTATAAGTTTAAATTTTTCTCTGAAAACTTACATTTTAAAATTTTTTTTAACCTTAAAAAAATCATAAACAATAAAAACTCAAAAGTTTCAAACTTTTACTTTTTATAAACTTTATTTTTACTCACTTTTTACAAACTTTATTTTTACTAACTTTTTAGTTACTTTTTTCTATTTCTAAAAATAACTTTTAAATTTTCTCTCTAATAAAAATTTAAATTTATCACTTATAAACAATACTAAAAAACCAAAAGTTCCGAAAAGTTAAATCAAACATGTCCTAAATTAGGAGTACAGTGCTAGGACCCAGGAGGTTCCGCTCTTAGTAATTTAGTTTCCAATTATGTGTGGAACTGAGGAAGTTCATAAGATTTTTTGCATATCTGGATGTTATAATTGGTTTGATACTTTTTAGAACAAATTAGGGCTGGGCTTGTCGGTTGTGTTGGGACTAGTTCAGCAGTTTTCAATTTTTGGGTTTAGAGACCGGAGCCCACTTTATTGGGCTTCAGTTACAACTGAGAACGTGCCCAACACAACCAATAATAACTATCTAATCCTTCGAGTGTTTGGTAAAATTTAAAAGATATTTGTTTTAAAAGTAATTTTTCTTTTATAAATTTAAAATTTTGTTAAAGGAAAGTTTAAAATTTGATTTTTAAATAAGTTTTGTGAAAACTCTAACAAAGTTTTAAATTTATGAAAAAAATTTACTCTTAAATAAGTTATTTTTAAAATCTCGTTAAACACTCTCTTTAAAGCATGTATAATGAAAAATAATAAAAAATTTTATTTTAATGTTACATTATTATAGTTATTATTATTTCATATAAATTTATAATTTTATATATTTAATTATAAAATAAAATATCTAACAAAATATTTAAGGCCTATTTAGTTTAACTTGTAAGAGTTTTTATTTTTTAAGTACTGTTATAAGTGAAAATTTT